TAGTTCGGAATCTAGATCACACTTAACGGATTGACTGTCTCAATAAACTTTTTCCTTCGATGTTGTATTTACTCCTGCGATAGGAGTGGTGCGGGCCTAGAGTGCATGTAGGGTGTGTAACATCGTCTATCGACAACGTGGAGGATATCTAGGATTATTCGGATTTTAATTTGTAATTTTCTAGGTGTTTTTGTTAACCTGTTAAACTGTAGAATTTAGTTTAAAGAATCTTTCGTTTCGCGCAATAAAGTGAGGAAATGAAGTGTATACTTGTCAAAGGGTGAATAAGCCTAGGATGTTTTAATTCAAAACCAAAACAAAGAATTACGTGTTTATCTGAGAAAATAAGGAATTCATCGTTGAAAGAATTAGTATCGTTTCGAGTTTTAAGACGATGCGTATACTCGAACGCAGTTAACTTGTTAAGTTCAACAGTTTTCATGGTAAATATGATATAATCAGTTAATAATGCGATCGTTGGATTATAATCTGGATACATTAGGACTACATTAGGTAGTTATTTCGGAAGGTACTAATCGAAAAAAATATGAACGTTTAAGGAAAAGTTGTATTTCATGTTATTATTTATTTTACCCTGAAAAGTAATCTGAAAACCTAATATTAAGATCAATAAAGGAATGCATTTAGAATGTTTTTCCTCTAATTCGGCAATCTAAACTGTGAACCGGGATGAAAAGGAGCGCAGGGAAAATGGCGGGACAGTCGTCCTTTCACGTGCTCCCTTTTTTCCTGGAACTTCCCCGCCCGCGTAGAAAGCAGTAATGGCGGGCTATTTAAGGTTTAAATGACTGTATTCACGGAAACTCGACGGGTTTCTTTCGGAAAAAAGTGTTCCGATAAGAACCGTTTACTTGGTTCGTTAGCTATCTGTTAATGGTATAATGTATACGCGCGGTTTCGTGAAACAATTTCGGGACGTGATTAATTGAACCGCTGTGCCGGACGAAATTTTCGGATAATGGCCGAAAGATACGAATAAACGAGTACGATTTCATTCGAATGAAGTTGTTCCGGTGGTTCACGTCTAAATAGTCGATGGAATTAAAATATAGTTATATGTCAATCGAATCGGAATTTATTTGCGTAAACGGTTAACCGAATTCGAATTCATTTGAACACTTACATAAACAAGTATGGATGTTCGAGCGCTACTAAAATTTTAGTAAATGTTTTAATTAAATTGGCGGTTATAGTTAGTTTTCCTAAATTAAAGACCTGAGAAATTGTGTCTTCATGCTGCAACATTGGACGTCTTATCTTTTATTAATATTAGAAACTAGCCAACATGGTTTCATCCTCTCTGCAGAAATTGAGCAGATTACCTTTGGGGAATACTTTAAAGTTATAAAACTTCTAGTTTACGTCGGTGTAAGGGCATCCATGGTGATGTTCTTAAACTAAATGCTTTTTTTCACTTTTCATTAGCTTTTATATTTTACGATATCCCATAATTCTCAAAAAGTACGGAACTACCCTCTCAAACTAATCTTCAGCTATATTTATAAATTTTCAAATTCGCAATGGACTTTTAACAAGAACATTTATACAGATCATTAATCGAAAAATGATTCGTGAAATACTTACAAAAATATATTTAATAGAGACATTGTAGTGGATTATATTGTTAGAATTTCATGTGAACAGTGTAATAATATTGAAATTTTATTACTATTAATTTTCACCAAAAGAATATCCATTGAAAATACAATAGTCTCTATTATAATAAATTCTTTTTCAAAGGTATGGTAAGTAAAAAGGTACAAAAAATAAGAACAAGTTTTTATAGAAAAGAACTGTCAATCAACATTTTACCCTTTTACCCCATACGTCTATTTAATCCATTGTCTTACAATTTCTTCCGCAGTCACAAGTTATTTAAAAGAACAAGCATTTCTACATAATAGATCTGTATCTACTTCAACCATGTAATTAACACTAGAACTACTTCTTATTTTGCAATGATTGACACGTTAAATTGGTGATTACGTAGTAAGTGCAGTAACACAGTAAAAACACGGGTACGTAGTTCTAGCGTTAAAGATCGTCAGGTGTCTGGAAACTCGTGGGTGAGCGGCAGCCACCGAAAACAAGCCGATTCGTTTGACGGAGCCTGTTCAGGCGAGATCGATGCATCTTATCGGCGGCTGCATCGCAGCCAGCGAATTAAAACAGAATAAACGGGAACATCCACTCTTCTTCGTTCGCGAGAGCCGGTGAAAAGTGGAGCACGCGAGAAACGCGGCGTGACGAGGCGACAAAGCGGCTAATTGATCGATCCCCGGCGCGATTCAGCGTACACCATCTTTGCGAGCGCGCCCGACGACAATCTACACGCGGCGCGCGGCGCGGAGATTAATATTGGCTCCTGCGTTTGAGGCCAATTGTGCGACGGAAGTTGGTCAGCGCCCAATCGCTTTGAATGCACGGGCGACGGGTCAGGCCGCGGCAAATATATCGTTCGTATTGCTGTAAAATTAATTACGCGGCGCGGGACGATTCTACGCTGACAATGAGTTACACGCCGTTGCGGGATAAACTCGGCCGCTCGATCTTGCGAATCCGCTTATGAGTTACATTGGATGGACGGTGAATTTCGTGGAAAAATGTTGCGTTTGATTTGGCGAATTCGTGGAACTAGTCTTTGAAATCAATTGTTGGGGAGATTATTCCAATTGGAATTCGTGTGGAAGAAATGTATATCAGTTCTTAAAGAAAGTTATTGTACATTGACAATTGGGAACTGTAGAGCTTTATGTTCGAATATTTATGTCAATGAATTTGAACCCTCAAGTGGGTTAAAGGATAAGAATATGAATAATTTATTTTCTTATTTTCGTATTTTCGTATTTTCGTATTTCCGTATCTTCGTATTTTCTTATTTTCGTATTTCCGTATTTCCGTATTTCTGTATTTCCGTATTTCTGTATTTTCGTATTTCCGTATTTTCGTATTTTCTTATTTTCTTATTTTCTTATTTTCTTATTTCCTTATTTCCTTATTTTCTTATTCCTTAAATAATAAAATAAATCAATCGAATGATAATGAACCTACTACGTAATAAAAGGATTTAGATGATTTTTCAAAAAATTCATAGAAAATATTTCCTTTCGTAATTTCAATCTACTCAACCCCTTTATTTCTTATCTTCTTCAGCTGTCACAAGGGTGACGGACTTACGCAAGTATTTGCTTATGCTGTTTTAGCGTTGATGCAATCTGCGTTAAAGGTGATTCGCATTTTACGTTGATTTCCATTAGATAAGCGTTGTAATTATATGGTTACATTAACTTAAATAGAGAAACGTGAAATAATACTTCTCGACCGCGGCCGTACGACAAGACTGTCACTCGTAACCTAACCGTCATCAGAGTTGCGTTTTCATTACGAGTTCGCCGACGTCAAGTGGTTAAACGTAAGACAGTCTGCTCCGTTATACCATCGCCGGAGACACACCTGTTTTTAATGAGTTTCATACATCGTTTTTCCATTTTATCATTTGTATCTTGTTTCTTCGGTTAATTACATACTATTTCATTTTCTGAACTGTAGAAACCGCTTTATAAAATTGTCCATATCTTCTTGTTTTATTACTCACATTTCAGTCCTTTAATTAATTTTACATTGCTTTCTTTTCCGATGAATCACAGAACCTTATCATAATTGGATTCCTCACGAGGAAAAGGCATTTAAAATATTTTCTTTTCATAGCATTTATAGTCTTCAGTTTTTTACAATTTAACACAAGCAAGTTTTTAAGCACATACAGTGAAATCTTTGGTGTTAATTAGGATTCCTAACAGGATAAGTTTTATCGGATTCAAGTTGCACAGAATAATTTATAAATATTATACTTCTCAAGTATCTTGTAAAAAAGATTATATTCAATAAAAAATTCAAATTGAAAATAGCTATTCTCAAAAAAGTGATGGTAACAAAAGACAAAGTATTATCTATAAGGTTATGGATAAATGTTCACTATACAAAATTTCAAAACTACTCGCGGACTTATATTACCCTTAATTCTCCGAACTAAATGTAATCTTGTTAGAACAAATTCTTTTACAATAAATTGGAATGTAACTTTTTCCTTTACGTCGAACGCGTTCGCTAAAACTTAGTTTCCAGAAGTGTAATAACATTTGGTATTCGGAGACAGTATATCTGACGGAAAGAATAGTATTTCGCTGACTATACCGTAAACTCAAAGGACGAAGATTCGGATGTCGGGAAACGACACTCGGATTTATAGTCGGTATCACTGTTCCGGATGGAATAGTTTTCCACATCGATTTCTTTCAAGTTTCGAGTAACTCTTTGATTTACATCCGAATCGTTCGCGGAGAAATTTAAACATCGCGTTTCGAAAATTTCTTCTCCACTCCGGGTGGACTTTTTCAGAGAATTCAGAAACCTGAGAAACACTGTTTATATTTCGTACTCTCATAGAAACAATCGATGAAAAGTAAAATGTTCATATTTGTCGTAAACATTAAGAACAGACAGTATTTGATTGAACGAAGAATTACTGATTACATAATATCAAATTAATATCAAACTCAGACACAACCCGGCCAAATATAAATCAGGCTGCGACGCAGACGAAAGCATTTTTTATTGCGAGACTGAGCTGACCAGAGACAAAGCTCGTTTTATATTCTTGAAAAAGGATTATTGGAAAATTAATATGCACGTGATACGATTCAAACGAAAAACGAGAACTTTGGAAACAATAGGATTCGCTGAAAATAAATGGAAGTTTCTGGTGAACGTTATTTATGATTTTCTCAATTTTCTAATTTAGAAATATTTAAAAAAGATTTCGGTAATATAAGCATTCTAAATAAATATATAGAATAATGACTAAAAGGGGACGAGAGAAAAGTTTAATGTTTTTTGCTGGTTACGGGTGTATATAGTTCAATAAAAATGAAATGTATTGTTCTATGAATATCAAAGGAACAAATGCAACGTTAAGTTACCTGTTATACATGAGAACGTCTGGTTTCCAAAGTCTGTGTGGCGGGATCCTAAGGTCTCTTACACCTCCATACTCTGACGTGTTCCATCTCATGTTCACATCGTTCCACTCCTGTAAAATGAATAAATATGTTTTAGTAATGCTTCTGTATTAATTGATAGCTTAGGTTTATTATTGTTACGTTACTTTTTACGTTATGGTTACACAGAGATTATATTGGAAGATAAAATATCTGACTGTAATTTCATTGCTTCAGTTCAAAATAGATTCATTAACGTTCAAGTTTAAATATATTCACAATATCACTTCCTTCATAAGGATATTTTATAAACTCTCGTCTAGTTCATAATTATTTAGTGAAGCCTCTTCGATTATCCTTTAAAATATTCTCAGTAATTCATTTATAATTTCAATAATTTTTCACTTATTAGGAAGTACTACATTGTACGAGTAATTGAGAATTTGTGATATAGTTTCCTTCAATCGACAGTATTAATAGGACTTTTTACATATAAAAGACACTTCTTAAAATTTACGGATATTTATTGTAACAGTTTGTTCTATCGTTCTTAGGAAATTGATATTCGTTCATTTAGATCTTGGGAATTAGAAGTTTAGAAGTAGACAATTATGATACATATTTGCGTAACTACATCAATCAAAATCGACCAAAGAATATGCGAAATAATGTTTATAAAATTTAATATGAGTTACATTGGCTGGTTCAGTGAATCTAGTGTCAATAATTCCACAAAACAGATCGATAGAATATGAAAAGCCGTGGAATTTTTGTTCTATTAATTATTTAACAACCATTCTTGAAGGTATAAAGGAGGATAGAAAGAATGAGTCGCGCCTCGAGGTTTATGACACGTCAGTCGCTAGCGAATTCCAGGAATCAGGACGCTAGAAGCTAACGCGCTTGCCAAAACTCGCGGAGCAATAAATTGGCTCCCAGGTTCGCAGTACCAAGACTAATTTGCCGACAGCTGAAATACCGCCTGTCCAAAATAATCTCGAGCCGTTTCCGAATAACAAGCAAAAAGAACGATGCGCAGTTAATAGCTGATTCTGGTTAATGGCGAGTATTAAACGGAACCAATTTGCGAAGAAAAAGAGAGGAAGCAAAATGTTCGGTCTCACTCGATTCGTTAACATTGGACTACCGAGCATTTATTACAGTCGATGTGTAACCCTTATAAACATTATAACAATACGTTTTTTAACGATTTCTCCAGATATTCGTTATACTGTATAAGTGAAGCTATTTATTTTTCAAATCATTTCGGATATAGAATATTTGAAAAGTATTTACAATTGCAAAATGGGAAACCTAGAACTCTTCAATTAAATCCCAAAAACTAAAATTATCAGATATTCGTTATAGTATATAGGTGAAACTATTCATTTTCAAAATCTTTTCGGATGTGAATACTTTTGAGATATTAATAATTGCAAAATAGGAAAATTAAAGCCCATCATTTTGACGGGTACGATAGTTCTAGTGTTAATGATCGGAATTTCATTTACATTTTGATAAAATAATTTTCTCGTTAATATTTCAATAGAAAAAAAAGAATTTTATATTTATTCCATATCGATTTACTACAAATGTTAAAGATTGAAAATACTCAAGTAATGTTTAACTTACGTTAAAAACAAATAAATGACATTTAGATGTGTCGAATTAAATCAAATATTTTCGTCACGAGTCTAACACGTTATTAGAAAGCAAGAGGTTACTATACTTCTCGTTCCAGCTTATTTGAGAACATATTAGAACCACTAAAACGTTATTTATACATAAATTGAGTATGATATTACGAATGAATGTAACGAAAATCGGTAAAATACGTGAAATACGTGATCTCGAGACTGTCTCGAGATGGGGATGCAAAGGGTTAAATAGTTGGTCGCCCGGTTCTTTACCCGCGAACGATGCGCTGTCGATTCTAGGGTGCTAATACCTTCCAGCGGAGTTTTCGAGGAAATTTTCCGGACTCTCGCCCACAGTTTGCGCGACTTCCTCGGAAATACGAGGCGATTTAGAAAGTTTGGAAGTTTCGGCGGGGCTCTTCGCTTTGGTATTTCGGCCCCTTCCTAGCCGAGACAAGAACCGATGCGGACAGAACACCGATAAGGTAGCGTCACCCTTTCACATACTCTACGGGCACCGATCTTGACCATAAGCAAGTGGTTCTCTAAGTAAAAAGTTCGATGCTAATATGAAACCAGTTTGATCAATGTATTCGGTAAGTATTTCTAATTCGATATAAATTTATTTATCATTTAATTATTACCGTTTATATGTGGTTTAATTAACTATTCGACTCCCGGTGAAGATTTCGAATAGAATTTAAGAAATATCACTTAATTCTTCCAAGTTCTAAATAAATATTATTTTCCTGTTATTAATTGCAATGCTGTGTAAACATAGATAGAATAAATGTAGAATTTTCTTCTTTTTATAATGAGATATCAATAATAAAATATCTCTGTAGAGCGTAATTGAAATTTAAAGAAATTATAATAAGAAAGCATAAAATTGAATATTCATCGTTTTTAATAGTTTTATTAGAGTCTCTACTCTATTGTATCTCCTTGGGTGTTTTTCTGTTTTAATCAGCAGTAAGGTATGATTGCATTTTGTTCTCCTCTATTTTATAAATCTTGAGAAGTTTTATAGATTATGAGATTTCCCGTTTGAAATCATTTTACTGTACAGTAAGGAATATAGCAGAATCTTCATTGAGCAATTACTTTTTCACGGTAAAATTCTCGTTACGTACGGGGGCGAATTCAACGGGAGGAATACGAAGGAGTCTGGAATGATAAATTTAAATAAGTATGGATTAATAATTGTAATTTTATTATTGTCATGGATATAACTCGATATATAGGGGAGCGAAGAGAAAAACGGAACAGTCAGGTGAGACAGGACAGTAATGCTTTTCATTCAGAAGTTCAATCATTTATTTATACTTTTCCCATTGGAAAATACAAGTTTTCTTTTCATCCTGATGAGCGAGTATTTAAAATAATTTTTCAATCAATTATGCTTTCTCGGTTAGGCGATTTAAAACATTGCTCTTATGTGCTCCTGGAGTTTTCTTCGTGAAACATTTTTCTTCTCGGGAAGATATTAATTGAGTTTAAAGTAGAAACTGTAACGCTGGAGTTCCAAGGGGGAAGAGCCGGAATGATTACGAACTTCTAGAAGTAACACGATAAAACTGTAGACAGTGTATCATAGAGTCATATAGAAAGTTATTTTAAATGGAATCTTTTAGCAGACGTATTAATAAATAATCCACTGTTGAAAATATATCTTGCTAAACTTGAGCTTTTAGCTAGAAGATTGCAATTTTCGGTTCAAACGACTGTCGTGTTCCAGAAAGTTCTGTTTTTTTTATTTATATAAACTTTCTGGAACATGTGGAAGTACATCTTCATTTCCTTAGACATTTTTTACTGAAATTTTCAGGAATTATTGCTAAAATTATCGCGTCTGCCGAAAAGTTCTATCCGTTTTTAAATAAAAAGAAAACAATACATTTTAATATTTACTGTACAATATAATTTTCATTGTTAGGTCGTCCCATAAGTTCGTGCCGTTTATTTTTTTACCATATAAAATAATATCTTATCAAACATAAAATATTGATAATTTCACGTCTTGTAACTCTTAAATACCTCCCACTGGCTAAACGAAGCAGTCGAAACTCGTATTGCTCTGTGATTAGGAAATCATGAATACATACTAACAAAGCAAACCTCCACCAAAACGCATAGTTTAAGTATTAAACATATTCTAATAAATTGCCCTTGTTTCGTCTCTAAAAGAATCTAAATGATCCCAACAGTATCCAAGTACTTAAGTTTTTCAGACAAATGAATCTTCTAAATTCAATATAATTAAGATACATCTATTCCTATAATATATAATCATATAACTATAATATACAATAGTTCTTTCAAAGATTTAAAAGGTTTCGAATAGTCCGAACCAGTGAAAGCGCGAGAATGAGAGGATGTATAGCATTTTTTTTTTCTAATCGAGGAAAGTGACGAGGAACAATGTATTGACGTTTTGCCAGGTTAACCGCAACCGACACACTCGCAGGATACTTCTTTGCAGGATTGTCCGGTCCGTTTTCCTGTCGGCTATTAGATTCACACCCATTAGTCTCTGACTCCCGATTGATTAGCCACTGATGGAGTAGACCACCGGATAATTAATAATAGCCACTGTGCTTGATGGTTTACGCGGCACGCATAGACCGTTTATTATATATCCATTTGCACGCAGGCGTGTGGAAAGCCAGCATACAGGATCGTCGTACTCCTCGTTATGAGATTAGTTCATGACTAACGAACGCGGCTTTGAAGTAAATGGGATATTCAGGCGATCTTGTCTTCCAATTTAATTCAGGCCATGCGAAAAGTCCGCGGGTGAGTGCTCGAATTTACGGCGAGCAACTAACAACCGAACTTTCGTGTAAGACAGCTTAATTTTCGGACGATTTATTGCGAACAGAGGTTTCTGAATATAGTGAGAATTTTGTGCGCCTAAGGCGTGTGTAAACATTTAAAGCGCGTAATGCAAGAGTAGTGTAATCGAAATCGGAATGAATAATGTTGACGAATTATTTATTTTATTTTATACTTTTATTATTTGTACAACAAACCTATTTATAGGTGAATCTAATTCTTTTTCTTTATCGAATATTTACATGAAACATATTTATTATATTGTTTTAAATATTAGAGGTACAAAAATGTACAAACTTCCAGTACTGGATACTTTTTATTACATTTCATATGCGAAAGTATTCATATCAAACTAATGAATCTAATCTTTACCTAAATACTAATCTAACTATTTAAATGTTGCTGTTGAAAGTAATAAGATTTTGTACCAAAAATAAAATACACATTTTATATTAAACCAAGGACTGTACCATTCAGACCTATAAAAACCCTTTAATTGTTTTATTTCAGAAAAGAACGAAATTCACTTTTACATTTCAATACTTTCTTCTGAGAGAAACCAAAACATTAAAATTATATTATAATATTCTTAATCACAGGAATAGTATTTCTAATATGTT